GAACATTGCCCGTTAAAGTACCTGTAAAAGAGAGAGTTTTTATAATTTTTCAGACTTCGATTTCAAGCTTGTTTTTTAGGTTTTTGTTTTTCTTTCGTCACATTGGATTAGGTTAGGTTTACACAGTGGTGATACAATGACTAGGAGGTTAGTTGAGATCCTTCTGGTGTCTCTGGTTAGGTAAGCCATGTATGCTAGTAAGTGAATCATTACGTTAGATTAGGTTCTTGAAATTTTTTTAAAATGTATTTCCTCCACCATTGGGGGAGTATTCTTGATAAACTGAAGAATTTTTCTCCAATTGAAAAGTATTCTAACCTGACTCCTTAACCCAAACACCTGTTCTTAACTATAAAATTTCCTGTAATAGTTAGGATTGTTAGGATAGGTTTTATCAGATTTTGGTGTCTAGCATAACAAGTATGGTGATACCTTGGTTTAGGTATGCTGATGACATTTTATGTATTTGGCGTCGTGATTTAGATGCAAATAAATTTTTTATGTAAAGTGAATGAACAGATGCCATCTACCAAATTTACTTCAGAGATTCAAGAAGATGGGAACTACCATTTTTGGATGTACTGATTTACAGGATGGATAATGATTTTAAGTCTAGTATTTTCAGAAAGCCAACTAATAATATGACTTAGCTATGTGCATTTTCACTGAGATCTCAGTTTCCATATCTAACAGTTATTATTTTCTTCTATGTATATTAGAGCCATACATATTTTTGTCCTGAATTTATGGAAGATGTATATGAAAGAATTGATGCAATAGCTAGGTAAGAAACTATGTTATCCTTCTCATGTTCTAAACAAATGTAAGTGATAAGAAGATGCTTATATAGCCATTTTCATCCTGTTGATCCCTCACCACTAGCACCTTCTCCCATCCTGGGTGGAAGAATATGTCAGATTTGTTATCCAGCAGTGTGTGTGTGTATGTGTGGTAACATATGTTTATATTGTATAACTATTGATAATATATAAATATTCTAAAATCCCAAGCTCTATGAATTCACAATATCAGCATCTTCTAGATGCAGATGTGACATCCATCTCCATTTGGCATCACTTGTTTTATAAAACAAAACAAAAAATGTAGAGAAAATATTCCTAATTAATGAATAAGAATCACAGCACTGGAAAATTGTCAGTGTAGGTTCGTGAGTGAGTTACTCTTTAGTGTTGTGACTATTACGACTTGTTATACTTCACTGTGTCAAGTTACACAGAGGAGCTTCCATCCCTTGTTGAGGGATGGAAGTATCCACTATTTCTTGTGTTTCTCTTTATAGAGTTTTGGTTTATATATTAATAAAGTTGTATATATTTAGAGTAATTAAAACATAACTGTGGCCTCATTCATCAATGTTGTTTCACACAGGATGGTCCCTGGCCCATGACATGATGGTCCCTGGCCCAAGACATGACCGGCGATGCCAAGGCTTCCTCTACCACCAGGGCTTCCTCTTCCACCAAAGCTTCCTCTACCACCAGGCCAAGGTGAGCACTACTTCTGCTCTTACTATAACTAAATGGACAAGTATCTTTATTAATTTTTGTGTTAACTAAAGACATCATTAGTATCATGGTTGTACCTGTTAGTTGAAGAGCACAATTGTTCATAGCGGTTAATGAGAGGGTCACCATCGTTTCTTTTTTTTTTGGGGGAGTTCAGACTGTTTTTGGATACATTCTTTGCAAAGCATAAATGCTTATCTACTAGGAGAGAAGGAAAAATGTAGGAATGAGAATATATACAGTTTTCCTTCAGAATTTATGATCTCGCCATAAAACTCCTCCAGAAAGGCTGAAGGTCTGAACCACTAATGATGACAGGCAACATGAACCAGCTAAGCCAAACTTAATCATCTAGTGCTTTGGTGATTTGGTTGGTTAAGTTGGTTTCTGTGACCAATCGCCGTAGCCCCACAAACTGTTGCTGTTTTATAAGAACACTTGTAAAGGCACTACTGTAGGTTCATAGTCATTATTTAATCCTCTCCCACCTGTCAATATATAATGCAGTATTTGTGGTGAGTTTCTCCTTAACCTTTACAAAAGTTAAAGGAGTAAAGCAGGATGGAAGGTTAATGTGATTTATTTTCCAGGTAAGTGAAAGTTAACAGCTCCTCGAGGGACCGTAATACACCACAACACAGCACACTTCAGGTATGTGCAGGTCAGTTTTATAGCTATATCATATATTGTTGTTTTTGTATTTGCTCGGTATTCTTGCGTCTCTGCTAGTTGAGTAAGTTGCCTTTCCCTCCTGCATTGAAGATCAGGATCATGTTTGCTGTATAAAGTCACTCGAGAAATTTTCTTGATCCAGTGATTTTTCACATAGTGACTCAATCAACTTCCAGAACTTTGAATTCCTTTACATTATTATTACATGATCTTTTAAGTCATATTTCATTCCATCCTCATGCATCCTCTTAGAACTGACATGTTGTCCAGTGTTTCTTGTTATTACCAAAGATCAGGTCCAAAGTGTATCACAATCATTTTATCATTGTACTTTTTGCAATACTGAATGGGACAGAATCTGGATTCAGTCAGAGGTTGATCCTTCCCGGAATGAGAAAGACATCTCTTAGTTATCTGGTTCTTCTTTTAAGACATTCCTCATGTGCTGTTAGTTATTTGAAAGAAAGAATGTTCCTACTTAAACATTGTGTTTTGCTTTTCAAATAAAATATATCATGGTAAACTAAGGTGCTCCCTGGCAGGCATGAATTGTTCCTCAACATTGTCTTGTTCACCATAGACTTCAGTTCTCAGGCCACAACCAAAGACTAATACTTAAATAGACTTTATTTTTTTAAACTGAAGTTTGGAAGCATGTGACCTATTGTTTACTGTTAAAAATAATTAAGTTTAATGATAGGGCGCCATGTCTTAATGAATATTTATGTGACCAAGAGCATGTAAAATTTTCAATGTGGTTTTAAAACAATAATTAATAGTCTAAAATAACTTAACAATTTGTCACAATCATTTGTGCATGACGGTGTCAGGGAGCCAAGGTGAAAATCGCTGCTGTTATCAGCCGTGGAAGGATATCGTATGCTGCTGCTCTGAGACATAGTATTTGTTGGCTGTTTGATGATAACATAAGAACATAAGAATGGAGGAAACTGCAGCGGGCCTATTGGCCCATACTGGGCAGTCCCGTTTACACCCAACCCCTATTGCTCATATAAGCATCCAACCTATGTTTGAAGCAGTTCAGCGTATTCGAGTTAATGATGATATTTGGTAACTTGTTCCATTCATCCACTACTCTGTTTCCAAACCAGTGTTTACCTATTTCACGCCTAAATCTAAATTTGTCTAATGAAAAACCATTGTTACGAGTTCGCTCCTGGTTGGATAGTTTGAGTACCTTAGTAACGTCCCCTTTGTTTAGCCCTGCCTTCCACTTATACACCTCTATCAGGTCGCCCCTCGCTCTACGTCTCTCAAGGTTCCTAATGCCCGGGATTAGTCTTGTCATTCTCCTCTGAATTCTTTCCAAGGATTCTATATCCATTCTGTAATACGGTGACCAGAACTGAACTGCGTAATCCAGGTGTGGTCTCACAAGAGCAAGATACAGTTTTAGGATGACCTCGCTAGTCTTGTAACTAACACTCCTTTGTATGAACCCAAGTACTTTATTAGCCTTGTTACGAGCAAAAACACATTGTTTACTTGGCTTAAGGTTCCTACTTCTCATTACTCCTAAATCTCTCTCACAGTCGGATTTCTCTATGGCATCGTTGTTCATCTGGTGTCTGGTTTCCCTGTTAACTTAGAAGGAAAGATACAGACAGAGATGAATAATGACGAATAAGAGCACAATTGTATATCTGATATTTATAAGAATAATAGATTGAACTTTTTTAATTTAGATTTTATCCAATCGACCAAGATAATTATTAACTCCAGCTGTTCACCTTCCTGGTTTTGTAAGCACTTTCTTTCTTATAAAGCACAACTGGTAAGGTGCCATTTTGATGGTGTCATAGTAGGTGCTATTCATTGCACACTGCACAGAGAGAGGATCAGAACTCCACTGGGGACATTTATTATCACCCCATCATCCAAATCCTCAGGTTTGGCCGCTTTGTGCATCTCTCACTACACTGAGGCTGGTGGCCATGCCGGGTAGCTAGTTTGGGTATCGGGCCCATCCTCTAGTTTGGGATGAGCTGTGTGTGTACTGCTCCCAGCACCGCTCGCACCATATTGGGACTCGAGTGGGGTCAGACCACCACACTGAAATGTGTAAATTCACATTAAAAGACGTGATCCAATATTTTAGTAAAGCCGGAATGAAGCAGCTCCATACCTTCCCACCGATGCCTGGTGGTGGATGATAACATGTCATTTGGGTCGTAATTTAATATTCTTTGTTGTATCTGGTGCATAAGGGGATTTAATTGTGCCTTCAAATTGAGAAACAAGCTCTTTGCATATGTTACATTGTATTTTTTATGTAAAAATAGGTAGCAGCGATATCCCAATTAGGAATTAGAGTTTTCTGGGTAGCCAGACGATCATCCTCAAACCAGGAAAATTCCCTTATTCCCAGAATTATTTCCAGTTACTGGGAAAAGTTTCCGTGAGTCTAAACTAAGAACGAAATGCTGTAGGGGAAATGTGTATAACATTCTCAGGTCAGGTACATTATAACCAAGAATATTCGCTGGTGAATGGCGTGTGTAGTTCAGGATCTCAACACAGTTGGCATTGCATTATCTCATTTAGTTTCGATACTTATTCATTTGGAAGGAGACACCGGCTTTTTGAGGTGACTGTAGAACGTTTGTTTACCTGTATTTTATATATACACACTTATACACTGTAAACTTGTATGACGATTTTAAAGAATATCTATCTGCTATCTATCTCATTATTATGCTGTTAAGTAACACAGGTACCTACATTGTACTGCCAGGTGACACAGGCAGCTACCTAGTGGTGTTAGGTGACACAGGTACCTACATTGTGTTGCCAGGTTAGCTTATAGATGCGGGGGTTGGCGTGGATGGAACACTCAAAGTAGACATCATCTCCCTCCTTGATGCTCTGAGGCACCAGAGACAGTCCCAGCTGGGCCACGGCCTCGGGTACGTCTGTGGGAGAGATGACACACTTCTTCTGCATTATTACTAACAGCAGCTTCCTCTCTGTCTTAAGTAGGTTTTGGTAGCAATTGTGTTTCATATCTAGGATACGTTAGGTTAGGATTGGCTAGGTTTAGTTAGATTAGGGTTAGATTAGCTGAGAATAAGTTAGGTTAGGTTAGGTTAAAGCACTACTTGGGAACTATTTTGCTTATACTTAGTATCCAACTGACACGGTATTATACAATTATGGTACTTTTCTATCTACAGTATACATTTAACCTTAACCCCCTTCTGTAGCGTACTGTCACCTCTGTACTGCTACCTAACAACACTATGATAAGGTTTACTAGACTTTAGTTGGGATAATATTTTCATTCAAGTTCAAACACTATTCTTTCATTCTGTCAGCACCTCATATTATATACAGTGATGACGTTGACCAGTATCCTTGTTTGTTTACCCCTGAAAGCCACTTCCCTCATGGTGCAAGTCAACACAAACTCTCCCTTCATCCACTATCATTCATTCTCTTTTGTCATAAATGTTTCTGTAGTAATGTTCCCTTTCCACATCACGGTCCCAGGATATCCACCTGGCTTACTCCTGTCGCTCCATACAACCAAACATGACACAACAGTGGCATGGCCATCCCCCAAAACCAGTCGACTTCCTATTGTTCTCTCATGTACGCAAACACACACACTGCTGCTTCGTGGTATCTATCCCCTCTCACCGGTATACCCAAGACCTCTCTCTCATTTCTTCCCTCCATATCCCCCTTCAAAGCTCCTCCCGCTCTCTCTCTCTCTCCTTCCAAACACTTCACAAATAACACTTTTTTTTAACAATCTTCCGAGACTTGTTCTTCCAATACGTCTTTACGAATCACACACCCACACTCCCTGCCTCACACTCACACTTCCTGCCTCACACTCGCACTCCCTGCCTCACACTCACACTCCCTGCCTCACACTCACACTCCCTGCCTCACACTCACACTCCCTGCCACACACCCACACTCCCTGCCTCACACTC